GTGGGCACCTCCCAGAACATTGTTTTGTGCCACTCCCAACAGAAATACTCCAGGTGGACACCTTCAGCAATCAGGAGCTCCTCAGTTGCTCATAGCAAATCCCACCTTGGAGTTTACAAAGACTTATGGGTAGAAAAGCCACACAAAGTAATTTACTACACTGCAGTCATGTTGTAAGAAGGGACCATTCCCTGGAGAAGGATGTCATGCTTGGTAAGGTGGAGGGTCAACGAAAGAGGGTAAGGCCTCAACGGGATGGATTGACATGGTGGCTGCGATGATGGGCTCAAGTATAGCAGGGATCATGAAGCTGGCACGGGATAGGGCAGTGTTTGGTTTTGCTGTGCATGGGGTTGCTATGAGTTGGAAGTGACTCAACGGCACCTAACAACAACAACAACATACTTAAGGTTGTATTTTGGCTCTCCTGGACTTATTTTAGTTTTCTTCATCTTCAGCTTAAACTTTCATATGAGCAATTGATAGTCTGTTCCACAGTTGGCCCTGGCCTTGTTTTGACTGATTGTATTGAGCTTCTCCATTGTCTCTTTGCACAGATGTAGTCAGCTTGATTCCTGTGTATTCTATGTGGCGAGGTCTATGTGTATAGTTGCTGTTTATGTTGTTGAGAAAAGGTATTTTCAATGAATAAGTCGTTGGCTGTAGAAAATTTTGTCATGGCAATCCTTGGTGTCATTTCTATCACCAAGGCTATTTTCCAACTACTGATGCTGCTTCTTTGTTTCCAACTTTCACATTCTAATCACCAATAACCATCAATACATCTTGATTACATTTTTGATCAATTTCAGACTCCAGAAATTGGTAAAAATCTTCAATTTCTTTATCTTTGGCTTTAGTGGTTGGTGCAAAAATGTGTATAATGGTAGTATTAACCAGTCTTCCATGTAGGCTGTGGTGGTTAAGTTTGTCAACTTGGCTGGGCCTGGTTGAGTGGTTGGGCAGCTGGATGTAGTATTCCCCATGATGAGACTGGTAATCAACTCCATGGTGAAAACTACTGTGAGCAGCTGAGTAGCTGTCTCTGGGTATGTGGTCTGCTTCCCATATATAAAAAACAGCTTTGGGAATGGTCTCTAGCTTATGGCGTGCTTGAACCCTGCATGTAGCCATGTTGTTGTTCAACAGCTGTCATCCTCTGCTGACCTTGGGACTTTCAATGGACTTGAATCAGTGGCCTGCCATGTGGTTTGATAATGTCAGGACTGTGCCGTTTTATTTGTTGACCTTGGGCTTGTTAGCCTCAGCAGCCAGTAGCTGCCTGAGTGAAGAGATGCTTCTAGCATCAGTGGGCTGGGAGCAAGAGGCAGAGCTGAAGCCCAAGGTCAAGGGGCTTTCACACAGCCCCTAGAGCTTGGCACTTTGAACTCAGACTTCTAGCCTCCTGAACTGTAAGAGAATAAACTGTTTGTTCAAACCATTCCATTTGTGGTGTATTCTTGTCAGAGTGGCACTAGGTAACCAGAACATAGGCATATGAATATTATCTATTATTGACAGCATTGTACTTAGGTATAGATTTTGAAATGTTCTTTTTGATGATGAATGCAACATCGTTCTTTAATTTGTCATTCCCGGAATAGTAGACCATATGATTGTCCAATTCAAAAATTGCCAATACCAGTCTATTTCAACTCAGTAATGCCTAGGATTTTCAGTCACCTCATATGCATGTGAGAGCTGGACAATGAATAAGTAAGGCCAAAGAAAAATTGATGCTTTTGCATTGTGGTGCTGGCGAAGAATGCTGAAAGTACCATGGACTGCTAAAAGAACTAACAATCTGTCCTGGAGGTAGTGCAGCCGGAATGCTCCTTGGAAGTGAGAATGGCCAGACTTTGTCTCACCTACTTTGGTCATGTTATCAGAAAGGACCGTTCCCTGGAGAAGGATGTTATGCTTGGTAAAGTGGAGGAGGGTCAACGAAAGAGGGGAAGGCCCTCAATGAGATGGATTGACACAGTGGCTGTGGTGATGGGCTCAAGTGTAGGAAGGATTGCGGAACTGGCGCAGGCCTGGGTGGTGTTTTGTTTTGCTGTGCATAGGGTCGCTATGAGTTGGAGATGACACAGTAGCACCTAACAACAACAACAATGCCTAGGATACCAATTTTTATGCATTCCATTTCATTTTTGACACCTTAGAATTTTCCTAGATTCATAACTTTTTACATTACACATTCCAATTGTTAATGGATGTTTGCAGCTGTTTTTTTGCATTTTGAGTCATGCCATGTCAGCAAATGAAGGTCTCCAAAGCTTTACTCCATCCATATCATTAACGTTGACTCCACTTTGACGACATAGTTCTTCCCTAGTCAAATTTTGTGCCTTTCAACGTGAGGGATTCATCTTCCAGCACTGTATCATACAATGTTTCCCTGCTATTCAGAAGGTTTTCATTGGCCAATTTTTTCGGAAGTGGACCTGGCCATCCCCTTCTTCCTACACTGTCTTAGTCTGGATGCTCCACTGAAACCTGTCCGCTGTGGGTGACCTTGCTCATATTTGAAACACCAGTGGCATAGCTTCCAGCATCATAGCAACATGCAGGCCACCGCAGACTGACAGATGAGTGGAGGAGGTGAAAGCTCTCTTTTGACTGGCTTTAGTGAAGGTCTTTGTCTCTTTCAGCTTCTGGTTCTTTGTTCCTTCTCATTCTTCATGTGCTATCTCCCCCTTGTACTTGCTTCTCTGATTAATCAGCTCCTTTTATATCTCAAAACTGATTTGTTTAAAATATGCCCTACACAATATCTCCTCATTAACATAACCAAGAAAACTGTATTCACAGATGAGAGTTCCATACATATAAAACCAAAAACCATATCCACTGCCATCAAGTCAATTCCAACTCATAGCAACCCCCATTGACTTTCTAAGGCTGTAAATCTTTATGGAAGTAGATTGCCTCATTTTTCTCCCATAATTTTTGGAGCACAATTCAATCTATAACCAGGATCTTGTCACTGTTGGGGTTGGGTATGGTGAGGGAAAAGGTGTCAAGGTTGCATGGTTATGCTTTTTGTTAGGGTGATTAATACTAGAGGAAAACTAAGCAGAAGTAGGAGGAGGTCCCAAGTTCAACTTTAGACATTTTGTTTGAGGTGCTAAGAGAATTTCTACTTCTAGTAGTTGGCAGAAGGAAGACTGGGCAATCTACTTCCATAGAGTTACTGCTTTGGAAACTCGAGGGGTCGCTGTGAGTCAGAATCAACCCGATGGCAGTGAGTTTGGTTTTGGTTTTGGTCTAATTGAACTGAAAAGAATTTGAGTGCTTGTGTTTTTATCTCAACTTTATTAAAAGAAGCAATCTTAGGATAGATATATAGATTATAAAACTAGAGAGTCATAATTGTTTAGACCCTTAAACACCAAAAATGTGTTAGCAATTTTTTGCATATATGTGTGTTAGCAATTATTTGCATATATGCTATTTTCATTTTTTTACCAGTAAGAGAATTGAAAAAACACTGATGGTTAAGAAAATAGTAAATGCAAGTAATTTTAGTAGGTATTGACTTGTTCGTTTTGTGGGACTAATGTTGATTGCATCAATCTTTAAATATCTTGAATATTGGATAATTGACTATGTTTAAAAACTAATCTAAATGAGATTAGTGAATTTTCCTACAGTGTATAAGCTTTTAGATTAAGTATATTTTTCCAGTGCTTGTCATGTGGGAAGAAAAGATTTTTAATTTTTATTTAATGGATTTTTAGAAAGTGAGGGAGAAAATTTAGATAATATTTACTGAGTACTTCTAATGAAGAAAACATTGTGGCATCAAATACTTCACTAATTTCTTTGGAAATGAGTCATGTAGATTTAGAAAAATATCCTACTAAGCATAATTTATTGGAAGTCTTTTGTCAAATTGGCTGTGTTATCTAGTACTGGCTTTAATAATGTCTTTTAGTATAAAATCAAGCTCAAGGGAAAAATGGCTATTTGATGTAAAGATAATTATTGTATTCATCTTTAATTTGAATCACTGTTATTTCTTTTTGTTATATTTAATTATAGGGCTATTTCCTGATGTGGGTGGAGGTTATTTCTTGCCACGGCTTCAAGGAAAACTTGGTTATTTCCTTGCATTAACAGGATTCAGACTAAAAGGAAGAGATGTGCTCAAAGCAGGAATTGCTACACACTTTGTAGATTCTGGAAAGGTATTTATTTGGATGACTGCATTTTGTGTTGTTGGGATAATTAGTGTTGCATGGGGAGGCAGTATAAGGGGTGGTTTCAATGACAGGTTTTTGGTAGACATGAGTGTTAATCCAGTATGTATTGCTTATAACTATATGATCTTGGGCAAGACGTACTGAAGCTCTTTAATTCTCAGTTTCCTCTTATTTAAAATATCTAAAATATAGAAAATAGTACCTGGTTTCAAGTATTACTTCAGGATTCTAGGCTGGTTTGTCTGCACATATACGTACTCAGTGGGTATTTTTTAATGAATAATTAGTACCTGTAAAAGAAGTAATTCCTATTTTTAAAAAGGCTAATATATGAAAGTCTAAATTTATATATAAAAAGGTAGACTTTTTATGTTATAAAGACATTTTTGAAAGGTTCTCTTGGTTGTGAGTTTCCCTAATGCATTTTAAAACAATTACAGTTGTAAAATGTGGTCTTACAACTTTTCTCAAGCATATATGTACAGGGAACATATATTACTTATCTTTGTGTATGTGTGTGTGTTTCAAAACAATGTAGCCATTTTTGTTAGCACAGAATAGCACAGTAGCAAAGCATATGCAGACAGATTGCCTGGGTTTAAAGCCTAGGATGACTTTAGCATCTGTGGCCCCTAGTGTCTCCATCTCCAAAATAAGAATGATAATACTACTATAGTAGTTGGAATTCTTTGTGTTACCTAGTGAAAAACTCAGTTCAACGTGGTTTATGCTTCACATGTTCCAACAAGATTCCTGGGATTTACTCTGCTTCAGCTGTTTTGGCTCACTCTGATTTACTGGTTTGTATCAGCCATGAACCATGTGGAGGGGTGTGGCAGAGGTGGAAGGAATCCACGGATTGGTCTATCGTGGGTCATATGCTTGATCCTTGGAGCTGGGGGGTGAAGTCAGCTTCCTAGGAGGCGCAGGGACCTCCACATGGGGACCAGTCTTGAGGGAGGTGTTTTGGGATAAGAATATTATAAAAATTAAGTTAGAAAATTCATGTGAAGTGCTTATTTTATGTCAGTAACTGACATATATACTCAAATTTTGACTATTATTAATTTTAATATAGCAGTTTATATATGTTTTCTTCAAGGTGACTAGATTTTTAATTGAAAGTCTTTTACAACATGCTGTATGACCCACTCAATCCACTATACACTTTATAACATTCTTCTGTTTGGGGTACAGATGCCAGAGATGGTATTGGCAGTTGGACTATCTCCTTAATCCCTAAGGACTTTTAATAAATTATGATGCTTTTTTTCTCATCCTATCTTCTCTGGCCTGTTAGCCAACAGAGTAACTCAGTTAGATAGCATAAAAATGTACTATCTGGTTGCTAATGGAAATGTTTTCACAAATGGTATAAATTGACTGTGAAAATTCTTATGTTGATAAGTCTTGGTCATGTCCTATAAAATGTAGGAAGTGTACAATGTTGAAGGTTGTCCATATATATTGTTCTGAGGGCCTTCCATTAAGTTTACTGAAAGACTGCAGTTCAGCTGGGCTTTAAGGTAAAGTAGGGATTATCAGGGAAAGGCATTCCAGATAGAGGAAACATTTAATAAGCAAGCTAAAGGCATAGGAAAACATTAACTATGTTTTGGAAACAAAAGACCCATTTTACTAAGACATAGGATATATATGTGAGGAATGTAGATGCATTAAAATAATTAAAATAATCATTAGCAAATCAAAACAAGAAGATACCATCTCACCCCAGCAATAATAGCAAAGTTCAACAAGACAGAAAGTAACAAATGTCTGGTGAGACTGTGGAGAGATTGGAACTCTAATACACTGCTGGTGGGACTCTAAAATGATGCAACCTCTGTGGAAAATTGTATGCGATTCTTCAAAAGTTGGACATAGAAACACCATTTGATCCAGCAGCCCCATTATTAGGTATATATCTTGAAGAAGTGGATATATGTACACCCATGTTCACCACAGCACTATTCACAATAACAAAGAGATGGAAACAAACTAAGTGCCCAACAATGGAGGAATAGATAACTAAACTATGGTACATATACATACACACAGTGGAATACTGTGCAGTGCTAAAGAATAATACAGAATCTGTGAAACACTTAATTACATGGATGAACATGGAGAACATTATGCTGAGTGAAATAAGTCAATCACAGAAAGACAAATATTGTATGAGTCCATTATTGTAAAAAGTCAAGGAAAAGTTTACATATAGAAGGAAAGTTTCTTTACTGGTTTCCAGGGATGGGAGGGAAGGGGAAGGAAAATTGCTAGACAGGTAAGAGACAAGTGTTTATTTGGGTGAAGGGAAAGTCAATGTAGCAAAAGCACATGACCAACACAATACTGCTAAGGAAAAGGAAGACCCAGAGAGGTGCACCAGAGTTACAGACAACAAAGATAAGCACCTTTACGCACACAATAATGCATTATCAGTAATAAATATTAATCTACAAGTGGATACATAGATAGGCTGAATGATCAGATATGCAAATTTAAAAAACAAAAAATTATTTAAAATTTACAATTCACATCTCTTGTCACAGCATCATGTTTCAGGTGCTCCTTAGCCAGAGTGAAATAAGATAAATGTCTCTATTTCTCTTTGATTTCTTACATCTTTATCCCTTTCTTACAAGGCAACGATGCATTCAACATCAGTAAAAAATTACTTCATAGACTAAGATGAAGAGACAGCATCACAATTTTAAGTCAAGGATTCTAAAAAAGAGCATGAGATTTTTAAAAAATTTTTTTATGGTTTAAAATCTTTTTTTTTCCTTCAGTTGGACATGTTAGAGGAAGATTTGTTGGCCTTGAAATCTCCCTCAAAAGAAGATATTGCAGATGTCTTAGAAACTTACCAGACAAAGGTAATCTTGTCACTATTCTAATCTCAGATTTTAATTCATGGGAAAGGGGAAGCTATTGAAAAATTAGCATTTGGTTATAGCTTGTGAATATAAATAAATGTACTGGGAATTTACTTACTTTAAAGGTTGGTTGGAGGATAAGTCCTTCACAACTCTTAGGTTGGCTGTTTAATAACATGACTTCTTACTGTGCAATTGCACGGCCTGCCTTATTGCAGGTGACTTACAGTGCATATGTAGCCTTATGCTTAGCCTTTGCAAGGGCTCTTACAACACAGTGTGGTATCTCTGTAGGTGGTTCTATGTGGACACTATTTGTGGAGCTGCTGAAATGAAATTCTAGTACATATCTATATATTATAATAATAAAACCTATTTTAATTTGTTCTTAAATTCTCTTCCAAGAGCCAAGAGTCTATACAAATTGACTTATGATTTAGGACTTATGATTAAACATGATGGATTAAATACATACTCCCTCCTAAAACCACACTAAAATACAAGTGGGAGGGGAGGCATAAATCCTCAAAAGCAAACAGAAGAGGAGAAAATGGCAGATGTAATGTCAACATTTTAGAAGCTTGAAAGCAGAAGGATGAGGGGTACCTACTATGGACCTGAAAACACTGAAATATTCTCTTTAAATGGAGACTAAGAAGCAAGCTAGTTCTTGCTATTGACCCTTAGAAAGCCACCAGGTCCCTCTGAAGACTGCGGAGTGAAATGAGCTCAAAAACAAGACGATTTCTTACACTTTTTTTTTTTTTTTTTTTTTTAAGAAACAGTGAGAACCTTCAGAAATTCTGTGCCACCAGGAGCAGTTGTTCTGCCCTAGCCTGGAGGAAGAGTATAGACTCCTTAGACTGAATCAGTCAGGCCTAGTTGAGGACAGGGATGGGTAAGGTGTGCTACTGAAGAGGTAGAATATGGAAAGATCTTTAGCCCCTTTCTCTATGTGGCTTCCCAAACCAGAAAAACATTGAATGAAAAAAAAAAAACCCTTCGGATATTGACATTCAAGACCACTCAGTGAAACACCCAGTTCTCTGATCATCTTATAGTGCATTGGACAGTTGACAAGCCTGTGCTTACAATCGGTACTGCACACAAACTTCTGTGGTATTTCAGTGTTTTCACACAGAAAACAGTATCACCAGGCATTTGAAGAAAGCCTTTAACATAAAAAACAGGTATCAGCCAAAACAAACATAAAAGGATGCTTGAAGGAAACAGATAATTCAGGGAGAAAAAAAAGGAAACTTAGAAAAAATAACCCTATAATTGTTTTTTACAGCTGTGAGGACAGTATTTCACCTGTGAAACAAAAACAGATAATAAGAAGATAAAAATATGATAGCAAAACTGGAAAAAGTACAATAGATTAAAATAGATGGTTGAGGGAAAACTCTAAGGAGGAAGAAGGAAATGATGAGATGAAAAATAGAAAAGTAAATTAGGACTATGTCTAGAAGGCCCAATATATAATTGTTAGAAATTCAGAAGGAATGTAACAGAAGGCAAGAAATACAGAAATAGTATAAGAAAATTACCCTAAACTGAAGAACCTGAGTGTACAGATTGACAAGGCCTATTGAGTGTTCTGGTAGCATAGTGGCTAAAGCACTTGACTGCTTACCAGAAGGCTGGCGGTTCAAACCCATCAGCCACTCCTCGGAAGGAAGGTTGGGCAATCCTACTTCTGTAGTGATACTGCCTCGGAAACCCAAGGAGGGGTCGCTATGAGTCGGGGCTGACTCGACGGCACATAACAACAACAACAACATTGAGTGTTCAAGGAGCTCTGGTGGCCTAATGCCTGAGATTTGACTGCTAACCAGAAGGTTGGCGGTTCAAACCCACCAGCCACTCTGTGGAAGGAAGATGGGGCAATCTGCTTCGGTAAAGATTTACCTCCTTAGAAACCCGATGGGGAGCAGTATGAATTGGAATTGACTCAATGGCAGTAAATTTGCTTTGGTATTGAGTGTTCAGCACAATGAATATGAATATAGAGCATATGAAGATTTTTTTCAGTGATATGAAAAAGTTGACAGCATTTTGATCAAATTGATTTGAAACTGAGAAAAATAAGCTAACTAGGTAAAATAATACGGATTTTTTTTAAATTCCTTTGAGTTTAGAGTATTCTGTTTAACAAGAACAGTGTGAAATTCATAGGGGTGAGTGAAAAATTTGCACTTGAGTCTACAGTACCAAATTTCTCAGAACAGGATGAGAGAAACAGCATATAATGGTACAAGTTAGAATTAAAACAAACAAAAACAACACATTGTTTTAATTGATTGCAGTTCACTGTAAATCAGCAGCATCATGAGACTGCCCCCAAACTAACCTAGAGTTAGTCCTGTTAATAAAAGTATTATATTCAGACCAAAGAAGGGTGTAAGTATTTCTGATCTTCTTTGCTATGGTCCAGCTACACTTGTGGTTAAGGTATGTGTTCCATACTTTAAGAATGACCTCGATAAACTGGAACTTGTCTGTAAGAAGACCTGGATTGTGAGGGGACACAAAACTATGCTGTCTGAGGCATGAATAAGGTGGAAGAGGGATTAAGTAGAACTATAAACAGGAGATGACTAATTTCTGGTCCAAAATTAAAAACTTGTAAAAACAACTAATTATTGTAGTTGTTCAAACCCTTGTGAGTTCTTTCCTGAGGTACAGATTTCTTTCCCTGAAGTCAGTGCTGAAAGTATGTTAGAGATATGACTGGAATTTGTATAAAAGATAAAAATGTGTACAGGTTGACCTCTCAGGTTCTTTATAATCCTTAAATATGTTGACACATTTTAGTGATATATGTGTGTGTGTGTGTGTATACACATATATATAATGTAAGTAAGTCTATAAGAACAATTTTTTATCTTCAACATAAGATAAAATCATCTAGTTTTGAGAGCTAGTCTGCAGTAATACATGCTGTCTGAATTTTGAACATGTGGTAGTTATTTATAAGACTGCTAAATATTATTTGCATGAACATGATAATTTGTGACTGTTATTATGATGAGATTTTAAAGGATTTTAAAAAGATTTTAGTTACTTTAAATTGATTGAAGGTTTTTCTTTCCAAACAGTCCAAGATTGATGAAGACAAATCTTTCATATTAGAGGAACACATGGATAAAATAAACAGGTGCTTAAAAAGAGACATCAATTATATCTATTCCTTTGGATTGACTATCTTAAATTGAATTTGCTAACATTGCAATTACATTGTGTTTAAACTTTATACAATAATTAATGGACCCATTTTTAACTTTAGATAACATAGTGCTGTTATTTTCATTCTCTTTTGAAAGCTGCTTCTTATCCAGTCTTTTGGGAGATAAATTAGTTATATTTTTATAACACAGTACTGTTATTTTCATTCTCCTTTGAAAGTTGCTTCTTATTCAATCTTTTAGGAGATAAATTAATTATATTTAAGTAGTCTACCATACTCATTCATTATAGTGAAAACTTTTTTTTTTTTAAAGTAAGGAAAAGAGGCTAGAAAAGGATCATTCAATTAACCTGTGTTTTATCCTTGTAAAGTCATCTTCTGTGACGGTCTTATTAAGTTGATCAGCAAAAGGTCTTTTTGCAGTAATTTGAGAGATTGATTGAAGGAAATGAGGAGAATGGGAAATTTTCAAGACAACTATCTGCTCACTTTAAAACATCAGTTTTTCACAGATGAGATATAATTTATATGTAAAAACAATAGATGCATGAGAGCAAAAGAAAAAAGAAAATTTCAGTTTCATTTCATATTAGTGATGGAAGACTGCGAACACTTCCCCAGAGAAGTGATGTTCTATTTTGTTATCCTGTAAAGTAGGTTGGAAATTTTTCATTTTGAAATGCCAGTGGGGAGTAGGGGAAGCCTACTCACATTCACTGGTATCTTGGTAGTAAGAAATGACTTGCACATTGGTAAAATCACGTGTTTCTTTTTTTATAGTTGGTTTTCAGCCAATACGATAGAACAGATTATTAAGAATATACAACAGGATGATTCATCCTTTGCCCTAGAGCAGTTAAAGGTAATGTATTGATCTTTTCTGCTGTGACTGAGCATGACTGGGAAGCCTCTCTGAGGGCTAACATTACTCCATGGTTGTGATATAGTCTACTGCATTGGGATTATTTTTGTGTGAACTCAGGTGAGCCTCAGAAGCAAGTCCACAAAACCTTGACCCCCACATAACTGTCTTGTCTGGATGTTGAAGGTTGCTAAAACGGCAAGGAGGCCACATGTTCTGACCTCCTCTAACCCTACAAGGGGAAGGCAGGATTACCAGGAGTAACCCAAGGCCTATTACTGCAAGACCAAACATGCTGCCTCCCTCCAGCCCTTTCACCAATCGTTCCTCCCAAAGCACCCACCACCTCTCTCCTGGGTTCGATAATTCGCTGCAGTGGCCACACAGAACTCACAGATTACAGGGTTTATTAGGGAAGCACCAGGCTACAACTCAAGTTCAGGAAGAACGCTCAGGCTCTCTCCCAGCCCAACGTCCCTCAGCCAAAAGTCTCTCACAGTCTCTTTCCCAGCAGTGCTGGTCCCTCGGTGTCTCACTCAGCAATGCGTGTCTCTCGCGTCTCTTTCCCAGCAGCACGTGTCTCTTTCAGCAGCACATCTTCCTCCACCAGCAGTCAGAGAGAGTTCTGCCTCCAGGAGGCCTCCTTTTGAGCCCGGAAGGGTGGTCAAACTAGCCAATCACAGCATCAGAACTCTAAGCACATGAGAGAGAGTGGGAACTTCCCAGAACATTGTATTGTGCCACGCCCAACAGAAATAACCCAGGTGGGCGACTTTAAAATCAGGATCTCCTCCGTAGCTAATAGCAATTCCCACCTTAGAGTTTACAAAGACTTACGGGTAGAAAAGCCACACTAAGTAATTTACTACACCGCAAAGGTAAAGCCAAGCTGTTTTTGGTCCTATGAAAGTAGCAGAACTTTTTTAGTAAGCATGCTTCATCTCTAGTAGTTCTCCCTGTCCTATAAGGAAAGCTTTTAGGGAAATTTTTGTTGAAGAGTTGTGTTAATGGAGAAGAATCATCCTATAATATCCTACAAGTTTGGCATTGATGTATAGACATTAATCTATAAATTCTATTATTAATATGCAACACATCTATATATGGTCTTTCTAAGCAGGAGGCTGAAAAAAAATTGACCCTTTTGAAACTAGTAAGAGGCCGTGTGTATAGCAGTAGCTGAGTATTAAGGAAGTTTCCCCATGTTAGGTACACTTTGATCTTTCTGCACCAGAACTTAATTGATGACAGCAGTGCATTTGGTTAAAGTAGAAGAAAAGCCATTTTGTATAAATGAGTTCACATTGGTACTCGAACCTATCATGTTTATGAAACCCAGACTATTTCAGACTTCTAGACAGAGGAAAGAACAAATACTTACCTTTTATACTTAAAAGGTGTTTTAGCTTATCTTTATCTGATAGTACTTTCCTGTTTTATAGGTATAATCACAGAATTTTAGTTGTCAGGGACTTTATTGAAAAAATACTTTAATAAATTCTTACCTGAGAAGATGAAAACATTTTCCCACTGTTATTGTATTCTTAAGGGGGAAAATTATGCATTAAATGGTCTGCTAAGATTGTATTCATAATTAAGATTTTAATCATTTTCATATATGGGCATAATATTTATTTCCCTCATTCATAGAAATGGATTATTATTAACAATTTTTTGGGAATGTTTGTGTAAATGTAGATAGTTGTACTTGAAAGATTAAGACTTTAAGTTGGTTCTTTTCTCTCTAGAGCAATAAAAAAATACCACTATTAGCAATAGTAGTTTCTTATCAACTAGCTTAGCAATTTTGTTTAAAATAGTCAGGTAGCACTTTATCTTACTGGCTGTATGCTATGACTTCAAAGCAGTACAAATAGACAACTAACCTTACTATTTTAAAACCACAGGCCTACTCCAAAACTGAGATGTAGGAAACAGATAGTTTTTCAATTTGCTTTCCATTCCTCTGGCCATATGATTATTCTCCATTCAGGAAACAGTGCCTGGCAAAACTACCCACCACAGCTAAATCACTGTATACCTTCTCATTTGGGAGGACATGCTTTCATTTGTGTTCACTTGCTAAACAGCTCTGATGAATGAAAGTGGCTCAAAAATAGTGGTTGAGATAACTTGAAATGGAGATAAAAAAATTCCCACTGAGTCTTCCTTAACAGAGCTTGTATAGTGGACTCATTTAGGTATGTCAACTAGAAACACACACCAAAATATAACCCTGGAGGAGAAAATGGTTGCTACAGCTTCATTGAAAAGTTTGCATGTCAAATATTTGAGCAGATTTTAAGAAAGATTAAGATTAAAGATTTAAAGAATATTTTTAATACTCTTACAAGCCTTCTGCTAATAAACTCTTGGGATTGCTCCTAAACCCTGTGGACTCTTCAGGGATTGCTATCTTCCTCTTTCAGGTCCCAAGAAACTAGTCTTTGTCTCTTCTAAGTTGCAGCTATTTATTTCTTGGGGGTTCCTTTCTTTTCATAGTTTCCTTTCGACATATTTGTAAATCATTAAATAAAAACATAACTTTTTTATCCCCCCTTTGAGATATTTAAGTTTTATACTGCTAATCATGACAGGAAAGCATATGGAGTTAAGGTTATTCAGTGAGGAAAGGATAATCTTTTCAACAAGTGATTCCAGAACAATTGGATATCCATATGCAAAATAAGAAAACTGACTCTATTGTTGTACCATATGCAACTTGAAATGGATTATACACCTAAATGTAAGAGCTAATGCTAAACTACTTCTGAAAGAAAATGGGAAAATCTTTGTTACCGTGGGTTAGCCAAAATTTCTTAGAACACAAAAAGCATGAGCTGTGAAGAAAAAATACTGATAGGTTGATTTTCATTATAATTAAACACTTTTGCTTTTTGAAAGACATTGTCAAGAAAATGAAAAAGCTACAGATTGGGAGAAAATATTTGCAAGACATATATCCAATAAAGGACCTTAATCCACTATATATAAAGAATTTTCACAAGTCAAAGACTACGAATAGTACAATTTAAAAAAGTAGGAAAAGTATTACTTTACCAAAGAAGATATATGCATGAATAACAAGTACATGAAAAGATGCTTAGCGTCTGGTTTGGTTATCCAGTGCTGCTCTGACAAGACTATACCACCATGGGATGGCTTTAACAAACAGGAGTTTATTCTCTTACCTTTTGGAGGTTAAAAGTCCAAATGCCAGGTGCCAGGCTGTAGGGGCTAGGTGAAAGCCCCTCAACCTTGGGCTTCAGCTCTGTCCTCTGCTCGCAGCCCACTGAAGCTGGAGGCTTTTCTTCACTCAGCTGCTGGCTGCTGAGGCTGATGAACCCAAGGTTGACAAGTAACAAGGCATAGTCCCCATATTACCAACCACATGGCAGGCCATTAATTCAAGTCCATTAAAAGTCCCAAGATCGGCAGAGCATGTCAGGCTGCTAAACAACGACTCAGCTGCATGCAAGGTTCAATCGTGCCATAAGCTAGAGACCGTTCCCAAAGCTGCTGCTTATATACAGGAAGCAGACCATATCTCTAAAGCAGCTACTCAGCTGCTCCAATACATTCCACCATGGAGTTAATTACCAGTCTTACCATGGGGAATAACTACATCCAGCTGCCCAGCCACTCAACCAGGCCTAACCAAGTTGACATACAACTTTTAACTACCATAGCACCTGTAATCATTAGGAAAGTGCAAATTAAAGCACAAGGGGATACTACTATGTATACATTAGAACATATAAGGTTTTAAAAACTGACAATACCAAGTGTTGGTAAAGATGTAGAGCACCTAGAGCTCTCATACATGGCTGGCAGCAAAGCAGGTTGGTAGTTTCTCACACAGTTGAACATAGACTTAACCTGAGCTCCAACAACCCTACTTCTAGGTATTTACCCAAGAAAAATGAAAACATGTCCACCACAAATTCTTGTACTCAAATATCATAGTAGCTTTATATATAATAGCCAAAACCTGGAGGCAAACTCGGTACCTATTAACTACTGAATAGATAAGACAGATTGTAATATAGTCATACAATAGAATATTACTATAAGCTATAAGAAGAAACAAACCATGGATACTTGCAGTATCATAGATGATTCTCAGAAGTATTATGCCTTGTGAAGGAAGTGAGGCACAAAGACTATGATTTTATTTTTTGTGAATTTCTTGAAAAGGTAAAAAACTAAAGGAACAGAAAGCAGATTAGTCACCAGGGGGTAGCATTAAGGGAAGAATTCTTACCGGTGATGGGAATGTTCTATATGTTAATTGTGGTGGTAGTTACACAACTGTATACATTTGTCAAAACTTACAGAACTACGGGAGCTCTGGTGGCATAGTGCCTAAGGCATTTGGCTACTAACCAGAGGCTGGCGGTTCAAGTCCACCAGCTACTCCTCGGAAGGGAAGTTGGGCAACCTACTTCTGTTTGGTTTAATGAACTATACACATAAAAGGAATGAATTTATCATATGTAAATTATAACTCAGTAAAACTGATTAACCAATAATGTTGTTGTTAAGTGCCGTCGAGTCGTTTCCGACTCATAGCGACCCCATGCACAGCAGAACGAAACACTGCCCGATCCCGCGCCAG